AAAAATGGGTACATTACAATTTTTCAATATCTTTTTTTAAATGTTGTATTGTCAATGAAACAACCTAATTGCTGTAGTTTATTTTTGTGATGTAAGTTAAAAATGAAATGAATAAGTTGTACACATTATTCATTTTTGTAGTGTAATTTATTTGTAAATGAGCCTGAGTACTTTCTGTACATTTTGTATTTTTGTTTTGCATATTCACATGTTTTAAATAAAGAGAAGTAATTATGTACATTGTAATTTTTTTAATGCAGCTTATAATTTTTTCACAAAACATTCTTCTATATGTTTATTTTTTTGTCCTGTAAATATATTTTTTTACACATTTAAACAAATAGTTGTATACATTACTGAAAGTACTTTTTGCAACTATTTACAACATAGCTTGGGTTTAACATCAGAAAAACAACATCAGTTTTGAGCCCAGCCCTGCCTCCATGTGTTCTGGGGTCTTCAGGAGGTGAATCTCTTGGTGAATGGCCAGCAAGTGATTCTGGGATATGGTAGGGTGAGAAGTGTCCATCAGATGTACACTTCATTTTCCTGGGAAACGGAGGGTGCATTTGAAGTCACTTTCGAAATACGTCAGCATTCGTCGCGCCGCGGTGACTCCATCAGCCTTGGAATGCGGTCTTCGGAGGGTGCATTCTGAATTGGGACAGCTTACGTTGTGACGCTGTGAAGCAAATCGCACTTCAAATGTGCACTTCGGAGTCCACACACTTCAGTTTGGGACACAGCTAACAAGTGCCTTATGAGCGAGTGATTGATTGATTCATTCATTCAACTACTACAACCACTAAGTCAAATAATGAGAAAGAACCAAATTGCCCATCACAGCTATGCTGATGACACCCAGATTTACCTAGCCTTATCACCAAATGACTACAGCCTCAGTGACTCCCTCTGCCAATGCATTGATGAAATTAACAGTTGGATGTGCCAAAATTTTCTTCAGTTAAACAAGGAGAAAACTGAAGTCATTGCATTTGGAAACAAAGATGAAGTTCTCAAGGTGAATGCATACCTTGACTCTAGGGGTTTGACAACTAAAAATCAAGTCAGGAATCTTGGTGTGATTCTGGAGACAGACCTTAGTTTCAGTAGTCATGTCAAAGCAGTAACTAAATCAGCATACTATCATCTCAAAAACATTGCAAGAATTAGATGTTTTGTTTCCAGTCAAGACTTGGAGAAACTTGTTCATGCCTTTATCACCAGCAGGGTGGACTATTGTAATGGTCTCCTCACCGGCCTTCACAAGAAGACCATTAGTATAATCATTTTCTATTTTTAACCGTCTTAAATTCATTTTAAATCAATTTTTAGATCATCTTCAAAGTTTTTAAATTCCTTGTTTTATTGTTGTGATTATTATTTTACTTTCTTTTATGTAAAGCACTTTGAATTACCATTGTGTACGAAATGTGCTATATAAATAAACTTGCCTTGCCTTGCCTTGATTCATTCAAACGCAGTAATTCATTCAGGAACAAACAGTGTTGGGAGTAGCTAGCTACAATTAGAGACGCTACTAGCGTAACTAAATTTTTCCGTAGCATGACGGTAGCTCTGCTACTTTTAAAACAGTGTAGCTTTTCTGGTAGCCAACTATTTTTTCCAGCAAGTAGCGGTGTAGCGCGACCAAACGCTACATTCTGTTTTGCGTTCTGACAAGTCACGAGCCTGTAATGCATTAAAGCAGTGCAGCGTCTACTTCTGACTAGATCACAAACTAAATTTGTTCATTACCGCCATCTGTGGTGATATCATGCATCTCGCGGCTTTACAGTCTTTCCACCGACAAGAGATCGTCTGATGATATTGCAAAGGATGTACAGGAGTGGATATTTCACACGAATCAACTGTAATTTATGCAAAACGCAAAAGAATTAAAGCACATACAGGAGGTGAATAATAGCCTTTTTAAACTGATTAATTCTCCTGCTGTATTGCGCTCTAGATCAAATGCCTATTTTACAATGATGAACCATCATAATACAATCTGCCAGAGGTGGGACCAAGTCATTGTTTTGCAAGTCACAAGTAAGTCTCGAGTCTTTGCATTCAAGTCTCGAGTCAAGTCCCGAGTCAAGACAGACAAGTCCCAAGTCAAGTCCCGAGTCAAGACAGGCAAGTCCAGTGTAGCGCGACCAAACGCTACATTCTGTTTTGCGTTCTGACAAGTCACGAGCCTGTAATGCATTAAAGCAGTGCAGCGTCTACTTCTGACTAGATCACAAACTAAATTTGTTCATTACCGCCATCTGTGGTGATATCATGCATCTCGCGGCTTTACAGTCTTTCCACCGACAAGAGATCGTCTGATGATATTGCAAAGGATGTACAGGAGTGGATATTTCACATGA